GGCCCGGGCCGGGCCTCGCCGCCTCACCCGGCGGGGGCCCGTCAGCCCCGCAGCGGTGCCCGCTGCCTGCGCGCTCCCCTCAAGCTCTCCCTCTCTCCCCCAGACCAGAAGGCATAGAGCGGCAGTTCAGGAAGAAGTGTGGCAAGTGGGTGACCGCGGCGGCCCTTCAGCGACTTTTGGAATCGTTTTGTGAGGTAACCGTAGGAATCCAGGCTCCGGGTGTCCTCACCGCTACGTCGCGTTTCCGCTTCCAGGTGCGGACTGCTGCTCTTCTATCAACACCAGCAGAAAAACGCCCCCGTGACGTTCATTGTCGACGGTGCCGTGGTGAAATTTGGCCAGGGTTTTGGGAAAACAAACATCTATACGCAGAAACAAGAACCTCCCAAAAAGGTAATCGGCTTTAGAGAAGTAAAAAAGCTATTTCTGCTTTTCAAAAAGGTGTGGTGAGTAAAATCACTTCATGACGGCGGCAGAGGGGAGAAAAAAGAAAGAAAAGGACCTCTAAACAGTAACTCAGTTTGGTGTCTTCTCCCTGTCTGCCTTAAGTGTTCCTTTACAGAGGTCACTGCAGCTTGGACTCCTAGCACTAAAGGAACACAAAATAAACTTGGAAATCTAGACTGTGCCTGATGTTTAGGCTCAGTTATCAGAAAGTTTCCACTTGTAAGTAGGTCAGATTGGTAGTCTGCACCGTGATTCTCAAAATCTGGCTCACCTATTATGTGTCAGTGAGTTTGCTTCTGATCATGACAGCTCTAAGCCCAGAAATGACTGGGAATAATTCTCCTTTGCCACCCACGGAGTTCAGGTAATCTTAATGACTTGCATGAAAAGCCTTAAAAGCTTTGGAGGGGGAAGTGATCCCTAGTGGCACAGCTGTTGCCAAGGTTTAACAAAATACTCTGCTTCTCACCCAGGTGATGATGACCAAACGGACCAAAGACATGGGCAAGTTCAGTTCTGTCACCGTCTCTACGATTGATGAAGAGGAGGAGGAGATTGAAGCAGTGAGTTTCGTCTGCCCTTAGTGGCAGTCACATCTGAACTGAGCAGCTGTCTCCGACGCTGCTCAGAGCCAGCGATCGTCTCCCCGTTTGGATGAGGTGTTGTTACTTTGGGGGTTGCTGTTGCAAAGTGACGTTCTATGTGTTTCAGAGGGAGATCGCAGACTCCTATGCACAGAATGCAAAAGTGATTGAGAAACAGCTGGAACGCAAAGGCATGAGCAAAAGAAGGCTGCAGGAGTTGGTGAGTGTTTTCTTCGGCGTTGAACGCAAATCCCTGAGATCCGTTGGCTTTGTACACAAAAGCTATCTTGCGGATCAGACTACAAGTATAGAGAGGTCTTGGTACAGTCACAGGTAACTTGTAGCTTTGTGAGGATGACTTTTCCTTTACAGGTTTTGTAGAGGTGTTCTTCTAGTCCTCCTGAACGTAAAAGTCTTATGCAATTACCTATAGAGCTAACTGAAGAGCAGCCAGCAGAGCTTTTGCAGGGAGACTTTCCGTGCGCTGTTGGACAAGGAACAAGGGAAGGGGAAACCGGGCCATGGCTTTGCCAACCAGAGCACCCCTAATGCTGTGCTCTCAAGCCTGCTTGGCAGAGGACGTCTTTGCCATGAGGCATCAGGGCAAGCTAAGGCCCTTGTGGAGGACCTGCCAGCTCAGCTGCTACCACAAGGGTTCACTTGAAGAATTAATGGCCAGAACATCACAGCTGATCTTACCTGCTGTGACAGGAGAGTAGCAGATAGGAGGAGGGGCAATGTGCAGCTTCCACTGAGGACAGAAAGTATGAAATTGTCTCCTGTGCAGTTAGTCTTGGGCTTTTTATAATTTTAAAGGCGGTCCTCGTTTTGTACCTCAGGGGAGGAGGGAGTCAGCAAAGAACTTGAGCTACTCTTGCTCCTGGTGGGAAAAGCTCGCAGTGTTCAGACAAGAAGACTAAAACTCATTGGAGCACTGAAGGGAAACGTGTCCAGACATTGTTTCATTGTCTTAATTTTCTTAATCAGGCTGAGCTGGAAGCCAAGAAAGCCAAGATGAAAGGAACCCTGATTGATAACCAGTTCAAATGAAATGCTGCACATCTGCTGGGTATTCGGAGACAGGAGAAAGCTGCCAGGAGCTGTTGCAGATCTGTCAACAAAGCAGAAATACCAGACAACGTTCAAGGGCAACGTGCTGCAACCATCTTGGAGGATGAATATGTCTCTGTCATAAGTGATACTCTGGTACCAACTTAAAACTCCACCAGCACTGGAGACTTTGCTGAAACTGCAGTTCTCTACAGACCTAGTGTTATGAGCAAGCTGTTCCAGCCAGAATATTTGCTTTGGGGAAGTCTTCGCCAGGTGCCTTCCTGAGTTCGGTGCACCTTTAGATACCTGTCTTTTTATTTTGGTAGTTTTCAAACGTGTAAGATTTCCATAAATGTATTAGAACAATATAGGTCACCTGTACAGCAAAGAAATCGTTGCAAAAGTAAGCTCTCTGCCTGTTGTTCATTTTGTTATTTTAAATGTGTCTAAAACGTGCAGCAGCCTGGCAGACACGCCATTCCGACAGTCTGGAACAACTCAGATGCGAGGCTTGGGGATCGTGCTGCTGCTCACCCTGACCAGCGGGCAGGCTGTCAACGGCAGCCGGCACAGGCTCGGCTGCAGCGCTGAGTCTCAGCTCCTGTTGAACATCGGAAAGCCACGGTTGTACAGAGTAACACTGTCCCAACAGATACTGCTCCATACAAGAACATGAAATCCAACCCTGTTTTAAACTACTGAAAACAAAAAATGCTTGCGTATTGTACCACCGATGACTACAAATATAGAGTTGGAAGCTACTGATAGGGTTGGTGATCACTGAAAGTAGAATAATTGAATTTAAACTGCACATCTGAACTAACCCATTCTGCAAAACAGTATCAGTATTTGGGGTTGTAAAATGTGAAGGAGAAGGAAAAATTGTTTTGAATGCACTGACCACTAAGGACTTGGATAAAGACAACATCAAGAATTGGTGTGTAAAGTACCTTGTTTGGGAAATAACATTTTGTGTCTCTCGCGTGCTGTACTAACAGTGCTCTATAGCCCACGTCTTTGTTGCTCTACTTGGGATTAAATACCATGTTACGGAGTTGAACTACGATACTTTTCCTAGCGGGTTCTTACTCTACCACGTATCGTAAAATAACGCGAGCAATGAACAAGGTGCTTCATCTCCCACAATTATTACGGAAAACTTGTAATCAATAACGATTTTTCCATCTGGCTTTATAACCCTGACTGGGAAAACTCAGGTCTGCTTAGCCTAAGGATGCATCCTTCCTTTCTTTGGGAACATGAGGAGTAAGGGATGGAGCGAACTCTGCTCCAGAGCGGGCAGGCTGGGATGCATCGGTCGCGTGCCAATTTAATGCCAGGCTGGGCGAGCGCGTGTGCGGGTTAACTCAAGCCGCGCTGGTCTTGCTCCCTGCTGATCATCTGCTAATGGAAGGCCTGTTTCCAGAAGCCTATGTCCAGAGGCTCTTCCGTTAAGGAATTATAAGGTGGTGTGGAATGCTTGGGAAGGGCAGGAGGGATGAGTGGGTACGACTGTTACACCAACCCCTTTTCCAGGTGTGGTAGCACCGTCCAGCCAGGCGAGGGCCTCAGGGTTCCTCTGGGAGCCACCCAAGCCCTGCATAACCGCCGGCTGGTCTCGACAAAAATTAGGAAGTGACTTTGAAATTTGAAAATAGGTTTTGAACCGTGTGAGGTCTGCTGGGATGCAGACTTCTTAGTCCCCAGTTGTCATAAAGGATGAAGTACGCTCCTGCTTCAAGTGCCACCCAGAACAAAAGCCAGCTCAGGGATAGCGTGATTTACAGTTAGGGTTAAGGTCGGGAGCGACAAAACGCAGGGCTTCAGCTGACGGGGGGCTGTGAAGGGGCTTCCAGGTGGGCCTAGGACCATCTTCACGGTTTGGAGAGGCACAAAGGAAATTTGGGGAGGGCACAGCTCAGCACAAGTTGTCCAAAGTAGCAGCTACCAACTGCCATCAGATTCCTCAGCTGCGTACCTCCAGCCTTGAGGCAGTGTTCACAGCACAAGCACTCCTCCTTTCTGGCTTTTAGAAGAGCAGCCCGCGTTCAGTCAGTGTTTTTCATTCTTGTCATCAGAGATCTGCCTAGTTCGGCTCAGGACTTGCTCACGGACCCAGTCAGAAAGAGGAGCATGTAGTTTGTCACGCTAGAAGTCCCTAAGACACTTTTAATAGGCTCTAGTTATGCAGTTAAGGGCTGAAACAACTCCAACACAGAGAATCTGATCCAATACATTATTAAGCGTGTATTTCTTACCCTAACTAGATCTAGTTCACAACAATTTAAATCAAGTTGGGTTTTTAATTTCTAGATCTAAATGAATTAAAAGATGTTAGCTGACCATAGCAATAGGAAGCAGGGGCACCTAGTTCAAATGCTTGATTAAATGTCCTATTATAATAGATAAAACTAGCCATTCTGCAGGGTTTCCCACACCATGGTAGCAACTGGGTAATCTGCAGCAGTGTTCAGACCAAAGAAAAGTCAGATTTTCTCTTACCATAAAAGCTAACATTAGTTTTTATAAATCTAAATATAGGTAGGTGATAGATTTGTTTATTTAACTGAGCACTATATTGTACATAAGAGCTTGTCCGCGTGCAGAGGTATGGCAAAGCAAAGTAGCGTGTGAAATAAAAGTGGAGGAGGGCATCTATTCCAAAAATAATGCCACACATGGCCAGACTTACCTTAGTGTGTTTCATGGCTTAGTCCAGTCCAGTTTCCAAGCGCCTTCGCAAGAATCTAGTCTGAATTACCATGTTAGAATAGCTCCGCGTGTAGCAATGCTGCCTTGTTCCTCGTAACCTGTAAAAAAAACCCACGCAGTTTGTAAACCCTGAAGAGCAGCAGGAAGGGTGCAGGCAGCCTCGTCGGCGTTAATTGCAGCTGTACCTGGAGAGCAATGCGGGGTCCTCCCCGCCTGCTTCCCTGCACACAGCTGGTGCCATCGCAGCGGCTCCGGGGTGCTGGATAACACCAAGGCTTGTTTTAACCCCGGAAGAGCACCAGAAATGTTGCATGCAGCCTCGTCGGCGTTAATTGCAGCTGTACCTGGAGAGCAATGCGGGGTCCTCCCCGCCTGCTTCCCTGCACACAGCTGGTGCCATCGCAGCGGCTCCGGGGTGCTGGATAACACCAAGGCTTGTTCAGAAGCTGGTATACAGCTTTATTGGCATTTATCCGCCTGGGCTCCGGGCAGGTTAATAGCTCAGAGGGAGCCGGGCCCTGGGAGCCTGGTAAGGGCTGTCTCCCAGGGCAGGGTTGCAGGGTGTTTTGGGGAGCCCTGCGGAGCTGCCCGGCTTTGCTGTCCCGGCCCCGTAACCCTGCACATGGCACAAGGAAGATGTTCCCACAGGGCAGAAAGCTGCCTTCAAGGGAGCAAGCGCCGACGGTTCCCTTGCTTTGCGCCCATGGCTGGTGCCTCACACCCTGGGATGCGCTGTGGGGCACTGCGCCCACCGCCCCACAGGGAGGGTCTGCCTGTGGGACGCGGCGGCGCCGAGCCCCAGCTGGGACACCCTCAGCTCCCCAGTTCCACAGGCATCCCTGTGGGGCGATGGCACTGTGGTGCCCGGCAGTGACCAGGTGGCTGGGCCACGTGCAGAGCTCAGCCTCGAAACCTGAAGGCAAATATTTCTGGTCAGCTATAACAGCTCTCCTTGGGCTGTGCTCTGTGTTTCTGCTATTTCACCCGCTAGACTGGCACACAGATGGCTCGCTCTGACTCCCTAGACGATTGCAATGAATATTAATAAATGCACGCTAGATTTTTTTTGGTGTATGACAATGCGATCAGCTTGGGAACAGCACTGACTGATCAGCCTAAATCAAACTAGACTCAGCTTTTGCTGGTGTTATCCTCAAGAGCCCCAGAGGTCCATGGGGCACTGCCACATCCAGGCATTTAAAAAGATAAAAATTATGGGGTTGTTTAAAAGGCTGCAAAGCTGGGCTCTGAGGGCTGGGGGAGGAAGCCTTGTAGCTCTCTGCTGGGGAGATCGTATGAACCTAGCTGGCCACAGAATGCTGGGGTTTTTTGGGTGGATTTCAAGGCACAAGTGGCCAATCTGGCTTGTCAGCCAGAGAAACGCTGCCCCATCCCTGCAGCCGGGGCTGTAACTCCTGTCAACTCCAGGAGGATCAGACAGCAACAACCAGCAAACCCCCGGTGGGACAACACCCCCCAGAACCTCCCTGATGCTGTGGGTCTTGGTGTGGGTCTTGGCAGCTCCTGAGGGCTCAGAGTGCCCGAAACCGTCCCCCCTCCCCAGCAGCTCAGTACAGTGCCGGGGTGTGCAGAAACGGGGCTGTGTCCCTGCAGGCACGCTGGCTTTAGGTCCTGCCTCGCAGCCCAACCCATGTGCTTTGGGCAGCTGACAGGGACACCTCGTGTGGCTGGGCAGCAGCAGGATCAGTCCCACAGGTGGTTTCAACACACTCACCCCACTGGGAACAGCTGATTTTACCCTGTGCTACCCACAACATCACATTTTCCCCTGCCCCTCTGCGCCAGCCACTGCCGGAGCAGTGCAGGCAGCACAGGGAGGACACTGGGGCCATGCCTGGCCCGTGGTGACAAGGATACGGGAGCAGAGGGACTCCTGGCTCCATCCAGAGCCCAGAGACACAGCCTGGGCAGCCCAGCGACTGCTGAAGGGGATGGCAGGAGGGTAGAGCTGGCGCTGTGCTGGCCTTTTGCGAGTCAGGTCCTTGAGGTGGGACGCTCGCCATTGCAAGGCCTGGCGAGATCAAGGCACCAGCCCCTGCAGCAAGAGGTGCAGTGTGCGCGCTGGAGAAAGCTTTCAGATGAGCCCTTATTTCCTTGGGAACATGTTAACTCCATGCAACACAAACAGTTTCTGCTTCTCCTCCTCCAGCTGAGGTGTCTTGGCCCTGGGGCTTGGCTTTGCCACGCTCAGACCCTACACCGAGCTGCGCCAAGCACTGGGCATGGCTTGGAGGAGGACAGGCTTCAGCGGCACTTTGAAGGCAGAGATGTGAAGGTGGAAACACGAGGTAGGAATGTGGCCTCATGTAGGCAGAGCAAGCCTGGGGCTCTACAGAAGAGCAGCAATTACCTGCACTTATATTCTCTGGCTGGATTTTAATGTGCCATGATGCTGCCCTGCAGTCTCCACCGCTCAGCCTGGATGTGGGGTGAGATGGTGGCTGGGGGACACTGCTGTCCTCCCTGCTCACTGACTGGCCCTGCATCCATCTCCAGCAGAGGAGAGAGCAGGGAAGCTCAGCCATCACACCTCCCTCCTGCCGCCCGGAGTG